TGAAACGGACCTCTGCTGGCTTCCTTCCATGTTGCTCTCCATTGTTTACTTTCTTGATTTCTGTTGCAATGGTGACATCATCAAAGCCAACCCAGCATAATGGTGTCACCAAACACGCAGCTGCAGTGGGGCAGAAGTCACGCATCTCGCTATCGACGGGTTAGACCAGCTTTTTTTTCCAGTGGGAAGGGAGCCAAATGCCAATTGTTAGCGGGTCGACCCATGCTTGAAAAACACGCGTTAACCTGGTATTTTCAGTGGGAAAGAGGCTCAAGAAAGCTCCAGGAGCCATCTAAAGATCTTACCCACATAGCTTTGAGTTTTGAATGCTCTCCTATAACAAGAAGAATGTACAGCCAAGTTAACAGTGAGTTGAATAAAAAAGAAGCAGATTTGAACATTAAGTTAAATAACATTGTTGACATAAACATACTTTCTCTGTGCTCATGCTCTAAAGCACATGTGACGATGATGATGTTGAATATGCAGTGTTCTGCTGTGTCAGGGTGGGATACCTTATTTTTACTATGCCATCAATGTCCTACTTTTACAGAAATACATCATGTGATGCTATAGTTGGGTCATTCCTGCTGTGTTCTAGATGCATTTGTGTCGATTGCAGCTTAGAGGTAAGGTAAGAGAGCAGAGTTTATCATTCTCCAAAAACCTGTTGCAGACTGGCAGTCAATAATGCCAGTAATGTAATGCCAGAGTGTTATTTTCCTGTAGCAGTTCGATCAGGAAACATGCTGAGAGGTGCATAGTTAGCTTAACAGATGTCAACAATCAATCCTGTCGATGTGCAATCAAACTAAAGCACCAGCTGGACTTGAGACCAGGCAGGTGCAACATGAACACTTTACTAAAGGGCTGCAGAAACACTGCTTAGCAAGTGCCAAAATAATCCCTGTCAGCATGATTATATATGCAAATTAAAGAGAGATAAATAAGGCTTTTGCTTCTGCCTATTCCTTTGGGAATCTTAGATTTTTTTTATTTTTTTTAATCTATTTGCCAAAGTGTAAAAAAAAAATCTATGACTCAAATAAATAAACTGGGTCCCTTCTTTAACCTCCATGTGGTGAAGAGGTTTCAGTGCCTGGATGATCCCAGAGGCTATGCTGTCTTGGTTAGGGTAAACAGGCTCTGGGTGAAGAGTCAGACATAGAGCTGTTCTAAAAGCCCTTATGACTAAAAAAACAGAGGCATTTGGTACGTTGGAGCGGGGACATCACCATGAGGCTGGGCCTTGGGTTGGGGTCCACAGGCTGACTGCGGGATCAAACTTCTCAGCCTCCCCTGTGGCGCCAATGCCAGGGTGGTGGATAGGAGAGTCCGGCTGATGGACGGGACGAGCAGTGTGGTTTTCGTTCCAGTCATGGAACAGTTCTTTCCTCAACACGGTTCTTGAGGGTTCATGGGAGTTTTGATAAACCTGGAGAGGGCCGTCGACCCTGTCCTTCGCGGTGCCTTGTGGGGGGGTGCTCCAGAAATCAGGGACAAGTGGTGGTCAGCATTGACGACATTAAGATCGACCTTTTTCTGGTGCATGTTGGATGATCCAGGCCTGCTTTATGTCACCAGTCCTGCTCATAACCTTTATGGACAGGGTTTCTAGGCATCCCTCTTTTCTTAGCCTCTGCATTTTGCAGATAACATAGTTTAGGTGGCTTCCTCCTGCCAAAACCTACAGCATGCACTGGGAAGGTTTGCAGTGTCAAGTGGCTGGGATGAGAATCAGCAAATCTGTGGTCGTGATTATTGTCAAAGATAAATAATTTTTGATTGTTTGATAAGTTGGAGTTGGAGCATCTTGGGGTCCTTATTGTTTGCTTTATTTCTTTATTTCTCAGAAATCTTAAAGTGTATCTTTAAGGTAAAAGTGAGGCTGTTTCTGAAACTGCAAAGCTTTCCCTGAGGGAGCAGAAAACCCTTTAGCATCCATAATTTTGGTCCAGCAAATAACAGATCTTAGATAAAAGTCAGCAAAAACTGACAAAAGCACTATGCTTCAAAACGCAGGAATCAACAAAAAAAAGAATCACCTTATTTAAGTATATGGGAGGAGTTATCTAAAAATCTCCCCACAGCTTTTACCTTTTAGATCACAGCTGTTTGAATATAACACGGTTATTTATGATTTTTTACATTTATCACTTAAAACAAAACTTTTCATTTTAGTACCGGTTACTACACAAACCTCTGTGTTTGTCAGGGAGCAGAGCTTTCTCGCTGAGCTCCTCGGCCGTCCTGAGCAGGCGAGCTCGAAGGTCAGCAGCAGACGAGGAGTCCTGAGGAAGGAGAGGAGCCAGACGCAACAGGCGAGAGGGATCGCTGAGGTTCTTAAAGTCTTCAGGATACTCCGAAAGCCACGTGCTGAACACAGTACACACTGCTCTGCAAACACAGGAAAAGGAGAAAGAGAAGAAAGCTAGAGTCATGTGTTCTAATTGCTTTAACTAAAATCTACAGTAAAGAAGAGGTGAGACATATTAGAGCAGGGTTTCCTAAACCTGGTCCTCAGAGCCCACGGTCCAACATGTTTTAGGTGTTTCCCTGCTTCCACACACTTGACCTGAACGAAAAGGTGATTAACAGCCTTTTGCAGCATTTGATGGAGATAATGCAATCATTTGGATCAGGTATGCTTGTAGGGAAATATATGAGACTGTTTTAAAACATCATTTTTAATCAGTTTTGTGTAAATCTTTGGCCATTCTTGAATTTCTTTTGCATCAAAATGCCTTAATAATAGGAGAATAGAAGACAGGAGCTAAAAATACTGCTGCTAAAAGAATAGTTGTTCTACAACTGGGCACCTTTAAAATGGGGATCCCGTTGGATGTCTGGGTTTTTGGGTCCCCCCGGCGCTTGCCTCGGTGCTCTGAGGGGCGCGTCTTTGGCTCTTCACAACCACTATTGAGCATTTTCCCTTTGTAAAAAAAACTTTACACGCACAAGTTCACCCTCACAAACAACTACAGGTGCTTGGCTCCAGGTACTTAGAGATTCACTACAGAAACCCATATTCTTATATTCAGGTAACACAGTATACATGTCAGAATAAATAATACTAGTTATACCTCATTGATAGTATCAAATGCTACTTTATTGTATCTCTTATACTATATCCGTTGGTTGTGATGTTCTTTTAACATCTTTGAAGGTGATTCTTTTTTTCATTTCCTGTTCTACTTACATGGCAGTGTCCATATAATCTGTAAAACTCCCTGCATGAATTATAATAAAGCTATTTATATACATAAATCAAGCAGAACACTATGGCGTTAGCCGTACTGCTCCACTTGTGAAAGTAAAACCTGTTGGGCTCTTTTTGGCATCAAGACAATTATTGTTACTGCCACATTGCCAGACAGGACACTGTTAAAAAATAAATAAATAAATAAAATGGTTCTCGTTCAAAGAAAGATATTAAAACAGAAAACCCACAGACTGATAAAAATATAATTCCTCCATGAACAGAAGCAATAAGCAGAATTGTTGGCAGAACATGGCTTCTCGCTTCTATGTATCAGACGTAAAGTGTTTTTTTTTTTTAAAAGCTCACTTGTTGAAGGATTGTCTCGTCTGACTTCTTTCGTTGTCTCCAGGGGGGTGCTCTAACCTGTGAAAGAGAAAGAAGAAGGTTAATGCAGCCAAAAATTAAATATGAAATCTTTCAGTAGGAAACAAATTGAGCTCAGAAATTATATATTTATATATATCTTTTTAAACAGGTGGATACTGTGGTGTGTTTAAACACCATTCACACTTAATTAAAACTGCACCATGCTGTTAATGATTTCCACATTTTAAATCACAGCACAGCAGGAAAACTAGGAAGCTAATGACCGATTAAATGTTTGTATTTTGGCTTATAACTGCACAGCATCATTGAGCACCTTTTTTTACCAATAAAATACTTCCCACAAATAAAACTAGCTTTAAACATCAGAGTTTTCGGTACCTCAGAGGTCAGTTTAAGTGTTACTGTGGACGTGAAAACAACATAACTTTTAATCATCTGTCTCTAATGAACTGAAAGCTTTTGTACGATACAACTTAGCTTCCCAGCTTCAAGTAGTCAAAATAATACAATTTACCCAAAATGTGTTTTTTACCTCTGACCGTGAGCTGATCAAGCCAAGGCTCAGGAATGTCAATGTATTTTATTTAATCGCCGTTTTCCCCTGCTTCCAACTCACCACTAAATGTGACACCAGAGCGTCTTTTTATTAGCAGCATAACATTTTATATTCAACCTGCAGCTTAAGGAAATCAAAACACTATAAATGGCCTGTTTGTGCAATTTGGAGGTGTGGGTGCTTCTGCTCTGATTTGAGCCATGTTCCAGAAGGAATGCTCGTTATACTGATCTCTGACACTGTTCTTTGATTTGTTTTTCTCAGCTGTTCGGTTAGGCCTGTCACGATAATCAATAAATCAATTAATC